TTCTTTTTTCTCTTAAAATGGAGCATTATAAAAAATATTCAAGAATAGAATTTAGTAAATAAATAAATTGCAAATCTTTAGTTAGGATATTAATAATATGTGCAGAATTCAGATAATTGGATAGTTCACTTTTGTTGGATAAATGCTATCTCAGATTTGATTTCATATAGGTAAATTATATCAAAAACCATGTTCTTAAAAAATTAAGATGATATGAAATAAAAATAGTTATGGAATGAATTAATTAAACTAGATATTATTTAGGTATTGCCTTATGATAAATATCTTGGGAAAGTAAATAATAATTGCTCCTTTAAGTCTATTGATTATGAAACAGAACAAATATTAAATGGATTAGGTTTGAATAAGATGAAATTATTTTAAAATGCTATTGTAAATCAATAATTTGCTAATAAATAAAATTTCTTTTAATTTTATGTAGATTTTACATTTTAAAAACTAAAAAAACCAGATGAAAAAAACAATCTACCACCAAGATTTGAATTATTGGGTGTTGATGAATAAATGAAGAAAATTTAACGTTTATATCAATTGTTAAAAGAGATTAAAGAAAAGATCTAAGAACAATATATTGAAAGTTAATTTGAATCATTACCATCGCGTTAGTAAGAAATTGAGACAAAAAATAAAGTTAATTAATATGATCTAGTTTTAGATAAAGAAAGAGAAGTTCAATAATTAGAGTTTAGTCTTTTCAAACTTTCATATTTACTTCATGAAGTTGATTTTACTATGATTATAGAAAAAAAGAGAATAGAAATCTGTTAAGAATAAGTTAAATTGCATGAAAACTAAAATCAAAAAGATAAGTAAAATTAGAATAAAAAAGATTAAAATAAATAAGGAGTTTAATAAAAATAGCTTGAAAATATTTATAATGATTGGATCTAATTAGATTTTCCAAATAAATACATTAAAATTTTTAATCTCATTACAAAACTAAGAGGATTTCACTTCAAATTTTCTAAAATTGTAAATACAGAATCCAAACAACAATAAAAGCAAATTCAAGACAATGATTTCAGTTTACTTATTCGCGATGTTTAGCTTTCTATAGAAAAGTTTTTGTAAGAGCTTAATATTTAATAATAATCATTATCGAAGTTTTGGAGGAGTGACAATAAGCTAACAACCATTACAGATAATGAATAATACGATTTAAAAATAAATGAATTCATATTTGATATTATTGAAAAGAATAAAATAAGATTTGTTAATGATGAATACCATAAAGAATTTAAGGAATATCTTTTTCAATAAGAATTTTAAACTCTTGAAGATATATAAACATTTAACTTTAAAGTATAAAACTATATCAAAATGATGAAAATTTTAAAAGGTTAACAATTGTAAAAAGCTTATATTTTTTCAAAATTGGAGTTGAATCTCAAATCTACTTTAGAAACTAAATAAAATAAAGAGCTTAAATAATAAGACAATAGCCAATAACAAGAAATATCAATATGTTAATAAATTTCATAACAAAAAAATGATATTGTGGCATTTCTGTAAAATGACATAAAAGATAAAGGTTTTATTGACAAAATACTTCAATAAATTATAAACTAAAGAAATAAAATTAGAGTTAATTTTGCTTTTTAATAGAATAGCTATTTAAGTTCAGCCTTAATTCTATATAATTAAATTTATAATTAATTATTTAAATTTAATTTGTACTCTTAGTAAGATATTGAATAATGCATGATGGATATATTGAAGTTATACAGATAATTTGAGTAATTAAATTCTATTCAATATTAGAATCAAAAAGATCAAACTTTAACATAAAATGATATTAAAAATAAGAATACATAAGATCAAATTTAGAAAGAAAATAATGAATAGAATGAGTATTTAATACTTATTTCTAACAAAATAAACCAATTGAATAACTAAATAATGAATATTAATAAAATTATTGATAATATGGAAGAATTATCTTAGTATGTTCATTAAAATTGTATGGATTTCGAGTATTTAACTGAAGATCATTTTCAAAAACATATCTAGGATAATGTTAAATCAATAATCAAAGAATTAATAAATCAATCTTAATTAGATTAATTATTAAATGAATTTATATAAAATAATTTGGATATATAGTAAAATCAAGGAACTTAAATAAAAAATACAATAAACTTTACTTTAAAAGATTTTGC